AACAATTTTCCTTTATGTTTGAATTATTTGTTGGTGATTTGTTTTTTTGGATATTAAGTTTTTTAATTAATTACCGTCCTTGAATAATTAAAATTATTTTGAATGGATATTCATTTTTAGAACTTTTATGCATGTGACCGATTCAAATTAATTTTCATTATAGGTATGAGTAGTGGGGAAGTTAGTTGTCTAGCAAATAGTGCAACCACGCACATCGTTTTGTGTGAATGCATCTATTTCACTAACTTCATATCTAAGAATGCACCTTTGACAACCTTCTCAAGCCCATTCAACCTGATCGAAGGATACGGTAAGGTACGTATAATGTTGTCCAATGGTACAATTTTGACCATTGATGAGGAACTTTATTCTTCGCATTCCGAAAGAACGTTGTTGAGTTTTAAGGACATTAGATATAATAATTACTATGCTGAAACCTATGTAGAAAATGGAGTTGAATTTATGTGCATAACTTCCTATGAATATAGCCAGAAGTGTATTATAGGGATGATGGAATGTATCCCGAGTGGTCTGTATACTACAACCATACGCCCCATAGAGAGCCACTACGTGGTCGGACCTACCTCTAGGGCCACGCATGAAATTGCACTGTGGCAGGATCGTTTGGGACACCCTGGACGAATATCGATACGCCATATCCTCAAATCATCATTCTGGCATCCACTGACCTGAAGTTTAGGTTTGATTCAAGGAATCACATGCCAAACTTGTTCCAGGGGAAAACTTATTAGTAAGCCATCTTATGACAAGATTTGTTCGAACGCTCATATTTTTCTACAAGTGATTCAGAGGGACATTTGTGGATCGATTCACCATCCATCCGGACCATTTAGATATTTTATGGTTTTTGTTGACGTTTCCATATGTTTGTCACACATGTGCTCGTTATCCATAAGGAACGCTGCATTCTCCAAACTATTGGCCAGGTTATCAAGCTCAAGGCTCACCACCTAGATTGTCCGATCAAATCTATTCGATTAGATAATGCTAGAGAATTCAGATCTAAAACTTGTGATGACTATTACAAGTCGGTTAGGGTTGAAGTTGAACATCTAGTAACTCATGTTCACACTCAAAACGGCCTGGCCTTCATTTAGCGCTTACAAATGATTACTCGATCGTTGCTAATACGTACCAAGCTCCTGATCATTGCTTAGGGCCATGCAATAGTGCATGCAACCATGTTGGTCTGCCTGAGGCCTGTTGCGACACAACCATATAGCGCCCTTCAATTGATTACTAGATACAAACCCAATATATCACATCTACGCATTTTTGGTTATGTGATCTATGTGCCAATTTCGCCGCCTTTACGTATAAAAACGTGTTCTTATCTATGTGCCGATAGTGCCCTTTAGTTGGATATGATTCTCCTTCGATTATTCATACTTAGAACCTTTAATAGGCGATTTGTTTACCACTCGTTTCGCAGATTGTCACTTCTGTGAGACAGTCTTCCCGTCGTTAAAGGGAGATAAGAACGTCAATGTTCCTGAAGAACAAAGTGAATTATCGTGGACGACTCCTACTTTGTCTCATTTAGATCCCCACACTGCTTAATTTGAAGCTGAAATGCACCGCATATTAAATCTCCAAAGCATAGCTCAGAGCATGCCATATGCTTTCACTGATCTAGCGCAAGTAACAATATCACATATTCCAGCTGTGAATGTACCTACAAAGATGGATGTACCAAATGTACGACAAACTTCTCTCCTAGAGGATTGGGACGTCAACTTTGGTGATCCACGTACATTAACAGCTAGCCAATCCACGACCTTTACACAAAAGCATGGTAGACCTTTTGGTTTAAAGGATTCACACATCTAGAAGAGGAAACCCACAGCACACGCCCTTGAAGGGCCTACCGTGAATTCGACTGTCGCTTACTCATTCTATTAAACTCATGATGAAATTCTAGATTACGGAAGCGTCCTTGAAGAGACGAATCCACCTCCCGAGAATCGTGAGATTTCGGTCTATTATGCTATCTTAGATGATGTGTGGTGTAGAAATGGGATGATCATCGATGATGCATTAGCATATGGAGTAGTTACTGAGATCATGTTGAGCGATGACATTGAACCACGTTTCGTTGATGAATGTTGACGTATAACCGATTGGTCAAACTGGAAACAAGCAATTCGTCGATTCGCAGATCGTCGATTTTCTTGCAAAACGTAAGGTGTTTGAACCTGTAGCTCCTAGTCCTCCACATGTGAAGCCCATTGGCTATAAGTGGGTTTTCGTTCAGAAGTGTAATAAGAATAACAAAATTATGCGTTACAAAGCTCGTTTTGTTGCACAAGGCTTCTCATAACGCCCCGGGGATTGACTTTTCGCTACCTTATCAATTTGGTAATTTCCAAAAAACTGAGTATGCAGCTAATGGACATGGTAAATGCGTATCTCTATGGGGATCTTGATATGAAAATTTATATGAAAGTTCCCGAATGACTTACATTGACTGGATCAAATATTTCCAAACCCCGGAACACGCTCACAATTCGGCTGAGGCATTCACTCTACGGTTTGAAGCAATCCGGAAGTATAACCTTTTGAGTGAGTATTTGACTAGTCAGGGATATGTGAACAATGAATTATGCCCTTGAAGTCACATTCCGGTTTTGCCTTAGTTGTAGTATATTTCGATGAAATGAACCTCATCTGAACTCTTAAAGAGCTCGCAATAATTGTCGCGCACCTGAAGTCAGAATTTGAGATGAAAGATCTAGGAAATACTTGATTATGTCTCAGTCTCGAGATAGAACATTGTTCGGATGGAATCTTAGTACATCAATCTAACTACACCTAAAAGGTGTTGTGCTGCTTTAATTAGGATAAAGCGAAGCCTTCGAGTACTCCTATGGTCGTTCAATCGCTAGATGCAAAATAAGATCCCTTCCGTCCGAAGGATGATTATAAAGAGGTTTTGGAGCCTAAAGTTCCTTATCTAAGTGGGATAGGCGCTTTATTGTACTTAGCTCAATGCACTAAACTCGACATCTCTTTCGTTGTTAATCTTTTGGAAAGAGATAGTAATGCACCAACACGTAGACACTAGAGTGGTGTTAAAGACATTTTCTGCTACCTTAAAGGTACTATGGATTTGGGCTTGTTCTATCCCTACAGATCCTCGAGTGATGCTGCACCCCCTTATCTTGAGTCAATTTTTACCTTGTTGGTTATGCTGACACATCATACTTATTTGATCCACATAATGCGTGTTTTCAAATGGGTTATGTCTTTACCATTAAAGGCACCACAATCTATTAGAGGTCAACTAAACAGACCTTAGTTGCCACTTATCTAACCATGCTAAAATTTTTACCTTATAAAAGCAACTTGGGAATGTTTTTGCTTAAGAGCAGTTGTGGGCCAAATTCGAAGCTCCTGTGATCTTTACCTTGTCATTGATGTCCCAACGACAATCTATGAAGACAACGCAGCATGCATCGAACAACTCAAGAAGGGTTACATCAAAGCAGACAACACCAAGCACATTGCACTAAAGTTCTTATTCTCACATCAACTACAAGAGCATTAGAAGATTGAAGTTTCCGTTCACAAGACAATCTGGCCGACCTCTTCACCAATCACTACCGAAAACGACGTTTCAGAAGCTTGTTCAAGGAATTGGTATGCGTAAACTTTCTGAGTTGTAACATTGCTAGTTCTCTTTAGAATTATGTCAAATTCAGGGGGAGTATCCTGAAGTATACTTGTTTGATCTTAATGTACTCTTTTTTCCTATGATTAGGAGCATTTTTCCCATTGGGTTTTTGCTATCTAACTAGGTTTTGATGAGCCACCCACCTTGGGTTGATCATATCCCTAATGACGCCGCGTAGATGTTTCTTTTGACTTTGCATTACTCACTCATTTTTCCTTATACTATGGATTTTGTCCCTACTCGGGTTTTTGCCATAGCCATAGGGTTTTTTGTGAGACTTACTTCCTTATGCAATTTCCTACCTTATTGAGAATAGCGTTGTTCCCAAAATCAATGAAGACGAGTCAACTTCCTCAACTTCTACATGATGCCGAATTTACACACTCAAGGGGGAGTGTTATAAACTTCTTATTTAAGTGTGATTGTGTAAATCTTAGATTAGATTTGACTCTAGTTATTCTTTCCCATATGGACTTGTATTCCTTAGGGATGAAGGATTTCTTCTCCCTCTTGTTACTATAAATAAAGGCACTATGTAGAGGGAATAACATACACATTCCTCTACACAATTCTACAAACACATTTCTCTAGTCTCTATCTTTGCCACCGACCCCTTTCCCCTTGTCAGATAAAATAGGCTACAACAATTGTTTTATTTTAAAATCTTAGTTAGGGAGAAGTAATTTTAGGATTATAAATGATTCACCTTTTTTGCCTTCTGCCTTTTAACGATTCACCTTTTAATGCATTGATCATTGTTTGTTTTTTTTTTTTGAGTACATCGATATTTTTACATTAAGAGGAGGAGGAGTTCGGTAAAGCCACACAATGGGCAGCCTAATTTGATATCAAATTCATCATCCACGAGATTTGAACCTAAGACCTATCTTTTCCAAGTGAAAAGGAATACATATGGTCTGGCTATATTGATCATTACATCAAGTGGCTTTCCATACCATACCAGCACAGCCATAACAAAAATGAAAAGACTTTCAGTAAGAACTCAAGTTTCTCGGCCAGGCCAAATTCTGGTCATATGTCAATTTCAGCTTTCCACATTGTGACTTTTCTCATTTACAAAGCATTCCCACTTTTTTTTTTCTACCATACCCCACAAAACCTAAATTGTAAGCATTTTTTCAACCCCTAACAAGTTATGTCAATATCAGCCTCAATTTCCCTAATGCTGTCTATTAGAATTAATATTTGAACAACAATACATTCATCATTCAATGAAGCTTCTACAAACCATTTCAAAATAAAGCAAAATTATTTGGAAAAAAAAAACCAACCCAAAAGTCAAGTCTAGCCGTGCAACTTGTGCAACCGCGTCTAGACTCTCTAAAATTTTCCAACATTTCACCATCAAACACCACCACAAGAACAAAATCAAAATTTCCATGAAACTCATCAGCCTTTCCCATTTCCAATTAAATATCGTCGGCCACCACTTTTGCATCTTTTAGCTTCAAAAACATGGCTTCTCCGAAAGAACAAGTCAAGCCTTTAGCCCCAGGAAACTCACACCATCTCCGCAGTGATGAAGAGGAAGTTGGCTCCTTGCACATAAAGCTCGGGCAAAGAAAATACGTACAATGTTGCGGCTGTGTCTCTGCCGTGTTCTTAATCATAGCTGTAACAGCCATAGTCCTCGGATTCACCATGTTTCACGTAAAGGATCCGAAGATCAAGATGAACGAGGTCACATTCCAACGGCTGGAGTTTTCCAACCGAACCCTACGTGCGGATATTAATATAACACTTATTGCGGATGTCTCCATCAAGAACCCTAACGTGGCATCTTTCAAGTATAGCAATGCCACCACTATGGTTTACTACAGTAGGACGGAGGTCGGCGAAGGGAGGACTCCGGCGGGAGTGGCAAAGGCGAGGCGGACGTCGAGGATGAATGTTACGGTGGATATTGTTCGGGGGAAGATCTTGGGCGTGCCGGGGTTCGTGAGCGAGGTGGCTACGGGGGAACTGACCATGACGACTTATACGAGGATTCAGGGTACGGTGAAAGTCGCCACGGTCAAGAAAAATGTAGTGGTTGAATTGAATTGTACCGTACGGTACAATTTTTCAAGTGGGAAGATTCAAAGAAAAGATTGCTAACGGAGGGTTCGTCTTTAATGATTAGGATTCATTTTTGTTGTACTTTTTTCGGCTGAAAATTGGATCAAGTTAATCTTATACCAACAGGATCCACTTCGGATCCTCTTTGTGAGGATCCGGGGAATCCGTGAATCGTATATGTTTATCATACATCGTGCGGTCAGTTTTTGTTAGATACTGTTTGTATTCAATTTTATATAAAAAAAATTTAAAATGATTACTAACCGTACGATATATGATAAATAGACATGGTTCAAAAATCATCCAGATCTTCACAAAAAGGTTCGGAGTGGGAATCCGGATTCAATCTTATAGGTGAGTATATATATATTATACTTTGTAATCTATTAATTCTGTCAAACAGTAATATAGAAACACAAGCTGCAGAAAGAGCAGTCGTATGGAAGTTGTAGCCTTTCCATGATCATTGGCAATCATCAAAAAGAGTTTTATGTTAATTGATAATGACAGAATTTTACATTACATGTTGGTCTAGTTATACGCACCAAATGTACGACAGAAAATATACAAAAGTTTGTCTAATTATACATTACATGTTGGTCTAATTATACGCACCAAGTGTACAGGCCATATTTTTCACGAAAATGTATAAAGTTCGTCTCAAGCAAGGAGGTTGCCTTCGTTTTTCCTCTCATAATACAATAAACTGGAAATATGATTTTAGCCATTCCAACTCAATTTTTTCTTCATATAAAACCCTACATAACATTTTTACTCAAAGAAAACCCAATGACAATGATCTACATAAGCAAATTCATTAATTTGATATTACTTCACACGTTTTACATTTTTCACATGCCTAAAATACCCCTATTACATATTTGATGTAGACAATTAATTGTAAGGAGAGAGTAAATGATTTTGCAACAAGAAAAAAAAAGACATTAATGTTAAAAATTTATTGCATATTAATTTTTTAGAAAGGCTTTGAATTTTCATAAAACTATTCGATTCAGTTTTTTTCACCCTACTCTTGAATACTTTTTAATTTATCCTTTTTTTTATTAATATATTAGAACATTGTATTTCATTATCTACATGCACATTAATTTACCTACAACAATTATACCATGGGTGTAATATAATATCTCTTTTTTACAATGATGCAAAATAATGTTTATACCAACAATAAAACGTGCCTAACATATGTACTAATACATGAAAAATAATTTACCTATATTAAGAAGAAATGTAGGGGTGGTTTGGGAGTGAAGTGCTTAAAAAAAAAGCACCTATGAAAAAAAGCTGTGAGGGTTTTAGGTGTTTGGTAAACTGAAAAAAAAGAGCTTTTTGGAAGCTGCTGTGAGAATAAGCTGAAATCAAAGGAAAAAGTTGAAGCTGCTATTTGTAGCTTTGGAAAACTGGCTTTTTTTCAAAGCACATGGAGCTACAGTGCTCCTTTAATGAAAAGACCCACTATCAGACTGCTTTTTTTTTCAAAAACACTTTTACAAAAAAGTTTACCAAACACTCTGCTGATTTTTTTCACAGCCGCTTATTCTCACAGCACAGCCGCTTATTCTCACAGCAGCTTTTTTTCAAAGCACAGCAATACCAAACCAGCCCGTAGTTCGATGCATAGTATTAAAAATACTATGTTACACCCATGTTTATACAACAATAAAACGTGCCTAACATATCTAACAATACATGGAAAATAATTTACCTACAAGTTAGATAAATGTTATTTGGTTGGGTGTAGTATAATTTTTTAATATAATTGGAAAAATTAAATATAACTAGGTGTAGTGTAATTTTTTTTTATATAATTAGAACAAATTAATTTACCTACCTACTATTTGAAATGTTCATTTCTAATGCAAAATATTCATTACCTAACTACAAATTAATTCCCAATAATTTACCTACAACAATTATACCATGGGTGTAATGTAATATCTTTCTTTACAATGATACAAAATATTTTACGTACCAACAACAAAATGTGCCTAACATAAGTACTTGTACATGGAAAATAATTTACCTATAACAAAAGAAATGCAGTTTGATGTATAAAATCAACAATATTATGTTCCACTCATGTTTATATACAACAACAAAACGTGTCTAACATATATAACAATACATAGAAAACAATTTACCTACAAGTTAGAGGAATGTTATTCGATTCAAAATATATAATATAGGTGTAGTATTTTTTTTTTAAATAATTGGAACAAACTAATTTACCTACCAATTAATATGGGTAAAATTGGTACAAAATATATCACGAAAAAAAAACTACTTTTCTAGTTTGACATGGATACGGTTAATGCAAACACTTTTTACATTTTATTTCACTTTTTCTACTACTTTAAATTTGGCATAAATTTAGGAATTTGGAAAAGGGACCATAAAGTATGAGTGGCATGAGTGTAAATAAATTGTATTAATAGGTCAATAGTGTTCCTATATGTTTGCAAATTTTAAATTTGGGCTTAAACTGGATCTTTAAAGATAGATGGGTTTTTATCTAGAAGTAATGAGTTGTAAGGGCCAAAATCTAAAGCACCCTACAATAAACTACTAGTGTATCTCTACTAATTAATAAAACACTCGTTGTCAACCAAAATCCTATAAAATTACCAGTTTAACCCTCTAATTAAAACAGAACATAAATAATAAATATGGGTTAGAAATGTAATTTCACACAACCAAATTTTTCTATTTTTTTTTTGAAGCCTCACCTATATGTAATCCTAACATATCTCTAATTAAAATAAATAAATAAAAAAAATAACAACCACTTTCTACTCCCACATTCTCTATCACTCTCTTCCTCTCTCCTTTTATTTTAAAAACAAAAATAAAAAAATTTCTACACACTTTGTGCGTGCCCATATGCTAGTATTGGAGATTGAAAAAATATTGTCAAGGGCAAACATTTTAGTGCTAACTAAAGAAGGACTAAGGCCCTTTCCCGATCAGTTCCGTGAGGATCTTGCGGATCAATTAATCTTAACCCCACCGTACAAATCCAAGGGTCAAATTTTTATTTTTTTTTAATTTTTTTCACGCTGGGTGGTCTTTTCTCTTTTTATGCTGCTATCTTTTCTTCTCTTTCTCTTTCCCATGCCTGCAAATTCTTGCTCTATATACCAAATTTCTGCAACTCAACCATAAGGAAGGGGGATGGGAGAGAGAACCTTGAAGAGTGGTGAGAGAGAGATGGCGATTGCTGAGATCGGAAGGCAATTGATTTATTTGGAATCCGATTTCGGTTGGACTTGTTCTCGTATCCTGTAACGAAAAATCACTGATCAGACATAACAATAACTTGCAGTGTTTGGTTGCCGGAAAAATCCAAGAAAACTCAGAATCTCAAACTAGTCATAGAATTTCAAAACTTTGGAAATTTCATTAATTAATTAGCAACGAAACAAAGCATAAGAGGGAAATTGAACAAAGATTATGCCTTCGGAGGCGAGCGGGAGTTGACATGGCTGTGAAGGGAGGGACTTTCAGGGAGACAAAACGAAGAAGGAAGAAATGGACGACGTGATTGTAGGAGAAGACTTTTTTAGCCATTGGATTTGTACCAACGTCTACATTCAATTGATCTGCTACATCCCCATGAGACTGATCCGAAAAGGATCTCAGTCCACTAAACATGGCCTGAAGACTTTTTTTTTTTTTTTCTGTCAAAGGCCTGAAGACTTGAATGCTGCCATTTGTTTTTTAGAGAGGTTCCTCGCCGGATCCTTTTTGTGAGAATTATGGGATCCTTCAATCACATTTGTTAATCGTATATCTTGCGGTCAGTTTTTGTCAGGTACTGTTTGTGGATGCAAATTTCTTTTTCTTTGATCTTTGACAAAATTGCACCTACAAAACAAATAACACCTTAGGTCAAGGCCAAGAGTCTTATGCGCCCATGATGAATGTTGGGGGGTGGGGTTTTGGCCGAAGAACCTCCGATGCCAAAGTTAGAATTTTGAGGGAAATTGTTTGGAGAACTTTTTAGAGTTTTTGCTAGAGAATTGGAAGTGAACTTTGAGGAGAATGAAGGGGTTTAAATAGGAGAGTGGCCAGCCTCTTTGGGTGAGAGAGGATCGGCCCCCTAGCTCCCTTTGTGGGCTATGTTCTTGATTTGTGTTTAATTTGGGAGTTATGGAATAATTAGCTAATCAATTAGTCAATTAATAGAATATTTGCCTAATTAATTAGCTAATAAAAGGGGAGAATGAGGTAGAAATTATAAGGCATGGCTGGCCCCCTTGGGAGAGAAGGTGACTGGCCTTATGCGTGTTTTTTGGGAGTAATTGGTGGTTTAATTGGCTATTAATAGATTAATTAGGTAATAAATCTATTAATTAGCCAATTAACATAATTTAAAAGGAATGTTTTGGGAATTACCTTGTAGAAAGGATTTGATGAGGATGGATGAAATAGGCTTTGAATTGTTACCTATTTTGGACACTTTTGACTTGGTTGAAAGATGATTGTCTGCGGCTCATGCGTAGGAACTTGGATGTGCCTCAAGGGTATTCTTGTCCTTTTTTATGCAAAGATCCACGTGTCACATTGTGATTATTTTTGGTTCTACACTGTTTGTATTCAATTTTAAATAAAAAAAATTTACAATTAATTTCTAATCGCACGATATACGATAAACGATGTGATTGAAGGATCCCTAAAATCCTCATAGAGGGGATCCGGCGAGGATCCTCCTGGTTTGTCTTCGATAAACTGGTAAGTGTGGACCATTTTTTGCCTAACTTTTGACAAGTTTGACTCCTATATATCTATACTATGATATATATGATCATCTAGAATTTTGACTCGCAATCCCAAATAACATTTATAAATAATTCAGTGGTTAAATAGGCCACATGAATTATGCCACTACTTCAACTCTCACTTACGTCCAAGAAGGTACAATGAATACATTTTGAAATTTGGTCATAAAAATGATCAACTAAATTGTAGTTGTGTTGTCTTTAAGTTATTGTTGTGTCGTTGTTAGATGATCAATATGTTATTGTTACTGGAAAAAAATGATCATTTCTGCAAACTAAAAATAAAAAATATATATGTTTATTGTAGCTAATTCTCCAAATTTTTAGTGTATTTTTCTGTGAAAGCAGTCACACCCCACAGGGATAGAGCAAATGAAGGCTCACTAGGGGCAGTTGCCCCCACTCAAGTAATTCGTGGTTAAGTTGCATACTACAATTATATATACACGTGTTATCTTTGAAGAAATATGTGTC